TACTCGACGCGGAGCCAAAATATCCTGTTCCGTTTCCTTAATAGAGCCCCACATTCAATAAACAGATTATACCCCTAGAACAAAGGAGGATGGCAGCAGGCTGTCTCGGTATACCATAGTTACCATACCCCAACCCTGCTAAACACTTGGCGCAAATTGAGATAGGACAGAAGGTATATTGATTAAGTGCGGAGTTTCTGCATAGATTTGCATTGATTAGCGTCCTTTCATCTAGGCTAATCTAGCGCTAAGCCACACAGCTCAAGTAAGACTGGGATAAGACGAAACGAAACCACCACAGGCATGCTACTTTAACCAAACTCTCAGCTACTTTTTGAGAAGAGGTGGGACTTAGATAATCCGTCAAAACTGCGTCAAAACAACCCACAATTAGGAAAGAAGAGATGGCGTTACAGCATTGTTACCGCCAATATTTGCTCGGCTTTAATCAGAGCAGAAAATCTCCTATTTAAGTTTATCTGAGCGTACCTAAACAAAATAGGGAAAAGGTAACCGCCTATTTGTGGCATAGCAAGAAGCTATTTCTTGGGAATACCATTTTCCAGTTGAAAGGGGAAGCGCAAAGTCATTAATAATACAAAGAACCACATCCATATCACCAGCACACTTGAAACACCTCCAATTTCACTCCAATTATTTCTCTAATTGATCATCTGCATTTCGCTATTTTGACTTGCCTTTCGAAGCCACACTCGAATTTGAAGCATAATGATAGCAACAACAAGGCACCGAGTAGCTTATGAAACTCTCAGGAAAATTACACTTACCTAGTCTAGTAAATTTGAACTCTTTTCACTTAAAATTAACTGAATATTTCGGATCATTTTCATCACCCAGAAATTTTTGTATGCCAAGCGGAGCAAATGTGGAAATGTCAAAAAATTGGAGCATTAAAAACCAACACAACTTCTGTACCACTTTCGAAAATCATCGATATTACCTATAAACAATTTTCATTACATAAAAAGTTTAGCTGATGCTATGCAAGTGCACAGAGCGTTCTGACCATATTCTTGAATAAAACTTGAATGTTTTTTTTTTGTGCGTGCTTCGATAAAAAGATTGGACGAAAGCCTAAAATTTAGGCATCTTCGACACTCTGCGTAAAATTGGCAAGTTTTAGTCGACAAAGGACTAGAAAAAAAAATGTTAAAAACTAATTTGAATTAAAAAAAATTTTTTTGCTGATTTTTTTTTGATTTTTTGAATCCCAAAATGGCGCTAAAAACTTCAAAAACTAATTCAACTCGAGAAAATTTGAGTTTTCGGGGCTTGACTAAATAAGCTTAATATTCTTTTACAATATACGCCAATTATACACCTGCTTGCTCGAAATTACAGTAAAAAATCATAAATTTCGACTCGGTTTTTCTCGACACTGAGAAAAAATTTTCAATATTTGATTGACGTTCGAATCACGACTGAAAAGGCTTTAATATGATGTATTACTCGACCCTACCCGATGATTATTTGTGGTACCCAAGTTGGAAAAAAAAACTGAAAACTCCCGAATACAAAGTTCCTCCCCATTTTTAAGGGTCGGAGCAATAATAAAATTTGAAAACTATAATGACTCTAAGATAGTTTTGAAAGTCATTGTCAAAATGTCTGAATTCTTCCGGAGTATTTTTCTGACAAAGGGCTTCCCAGATTCTACTTTACTACAAAAAAACTAGTAATTTAAAGCAAAGCCGGCACTTATGATATCTCGCAATGTCTTTATATTGATAACTCGCACACGCTTTCGGACCAAGTGATAAATATCCCCTTAAATCAATTTAGGAGGGAGATTGTTCACTTCGTTCAACGAAATATTTTTTAGCCAATTAGATTTGAGCATAGTACATGCAGGCCTGACGGCTTGAATTTTCCGTTTATTTTAGTGGGGGAGAGATTATTTAAATTGTCTATTAAGAGAAATTCAAGATTGCATTCAATTTTTTTTTCTAAATGATCAATTAGCTTACGACAAAAAGAGACGGGTTATTTTTTTTTTCGTTTTTCTTTCAAACTTTTTTTAAGCTTATTGCGGAAATAATACCTTTTGTCGCTATACCTCAACAAGACTGCTCGTATTTCAAGGCAAAGCCATGAACGCTCCAACTACATTTTAAGGAAACTTAAAAAGTTTAAGAAAAAGGATACCACAATCGACCCAGTTAAACATTTCCCAATTGCCGCAACCGACAAAAATATATCAAAAAAAATCCTTCAATTATTTAATGAGAGATGCTGCAATTCACAAACACGAAAACTAGAAAAAAGGCGGCTTCGAAAATAAATCTACAGGAACATTACGGAAGTCGAGTCTCAGAAATCATAACTGAAACCATACAACCTTAAAAAAATACCTCGTTTACAGGAACTTGAAAGCAACAGAGACGGAGACATTTCAGACAAAAATATATTGAGACTATTCTAAGAAAATATGCCAGATTTTTGAGCCTATATAAAATTGAGTCATTTCAGCCATTTTCAGTTTCGACATCTCTGAAATATTCTGGATTAGCGACAAGCACTAATTCACGCGCAGCATTCCTCTCGTGCCAAATGTAAGCGCAGCGGAGCAAACGTTCGGTGCTTGCCAGTTTTGACTGAAATGTCTCTGGTCGAACGGTCTTGCATTTTTACGCCGCAATGTCTTAATTTCAAATTGGCTGATATGTCTCTGACCAAAATGTAGCGGCACCGGCTAAATATATCACTTTGCACTTGAAATAGCGCGTGGGGATGATTTTCAAAAAATTGAAAAAAAAAATCTATGTTTGTTGAAACTTTGATCACTCTGTAAGTCGAACTCTGCGTTTAAGGGCAGTCGGGGCATTCAGAGCGTCATCCTGATACAAGTAATCTTGTCTAGCGTTGATGTGTGAAATATCAAGTTCATCTAAAGGTCAATAAACCTTTAGAGAACACTTTTACAAACATCATTGTGACCACCAAAAAGAAAGATTAATTTATGTGGCTAATTCTTCAGCTTGAAATTGTGCTATATCTGGATAAGGAATCGAAGCACTACTTGAGCACCATGAAAAATCAATTTAACCAACTGTTCAGCTTCAGTACATATCAGGCTGTCAAGTCTTGTCATACCACACAAGCTATTTGCGGTCCTTTCAATTTAGTATAATCTTGTTTAATTCCAGCAAACCTAATACCGAGGCGCGCCCGTAGTCTAAACAGTGGATTTGAAGCAGGCATACAGAATAATCCCCCAGAAACAATATGACAATATATGTACCGTATAGTGGTAAAAGTACATACCAATCCACGAAAGTGAATGGTTTGCTCAGCTTATACCATTACCACAAGTTTATTTTGAGACCAATGAAAACCCAAATCGGCTATCTTAAAGATTTTCATTAACATTTCTACGAAATCAATACGCATAATAGCTATTAATATACCCAAACTATGAGTCAAAACTGAAGCTATTTCAACTGCGAGTAAGTAAAATATCTGCAGGCACCGCTTAGAATAGTAGCAACACTAACATGCCATCTAAGAATGAACAGTCGAAAGCAGACACAGACACATTTAATTCTGATATTATGACAGTTACATACAAGTTTTTGTGACAATTCAAAATCACTTTTCAATTTATTAGTTCTGTCAGACACACATGGATCAACTAGAATTAAACCGCAGATAGAGACACATGTAATAAATTCCACGTGTCAAAAATAAAAAAGCAGGTGTCGCAATGGATTATACTGTCTCACAACTGTTTTTGAATCACAAGCAGAGTCCAAAACCATGATCAGCAAAAGTCACCGTCAGGTACTTTTATGTTTGACCACATAATATTTCTATATGTTTCTTTGATACGATAAAACAACCAGAAGGCGAAAACACCTTCTGAACCTCATTTAGCATTGCTACGGACATCAAAAAAACCGACACATGAATATTCATTAAATTGCCCCCACCCTTTGAGACCCTAAAGTTTTCAGTTAGCTGCAAACCAAAAGGCAGGGCCATAAAAAGAGGAAAAAATCAGTCTGCAGCACTAACTAGGAAACAAAAATGAAAATAAATTAAGAGTACTTGTTCAGCAGACCGAATAAAATTGATGCGCATCAAGAAGTCAAAATATGGAATAATTTCAAATTCTTTATTATCGTTACATGCAATCTGAATCAGCTTAAACTTTGATCAGTCATTGAATTTCATTTTTAAGGAGACATCTGTGGCTTATAGAGATGTATATAAACAATTTAGCATGTTTTACACCGGCACAATCAAAGCAGGAACAATTTGGAAAGAACAAGAAAAATTCAAGCTTCCTTTTGAAAATTAAACCCACAGAAGCCTTTTTACTCCTAAGGGACGATGAAGATTTGCTACATTTGACATCGCATGTGAGGGTGACGGAAGAAATTTGATTAGAAAAGCTATACGGGGCAACTGAGGTGGTAAATTGATTGAAAAATGTAATTTAATTCTCACGCCATTTGAGATCTTTCTCTCCCAGAAAACTTCAATTTCAATCAACTCTTAATACCATCTTGACATCAGGAACCGACTTAGTCTGAAGAAGACCCTGAAGACGGAGTATGAACCCAATTTGAGCAATTAATGTCTTCCTAATATATTAGTCTGACGCCCGCAGTCTGCTCTCAAGTCTGGTATTATTGGTGGCGAGGGAGTAGACGGAAACAAAGGGTCACTAAAGGTCACACACAAAGCGAGACCTTCCCTTTAGATAATTGGTTTCCATGAAAAACTCATCAGCCTTGAAACATATGTGCCAAACATCTGCAAACCAAGACCCCGTTTATAAACATCAACAAGCCAATACTTTTGTCTCTTATGTCCTCGAAACTACAAGCCAAGTAGAAAGCATGCTAAAAAAGGAAAGGGTTAGCTAAGTGTCACTAATTAGCACTCGTTGCCAATTCTCGCCTGGCAGTAACCAATCATTGCCCAAGGGAAAACAAATTTGGGAATGGTTCAAACAAGTGACTGCTCCTACTGACCCTGGCAGACACTTGGTGTCGCAGACGGCGTCGTGGGTGGTGTTTCCTATGGAAAGAGTAGGAAACCCGAGGTGGACACACTTCTTTTTCCTCTTGCAACCCTCTTTGCTCCACTCCCCACTGTAGGTGCCCATCGGACAAGTGCTGCATTCTGTCTGTGAAGTAGTGTAGCCTGAGCAACGCTGAAACAAGACCCAACAAATTTAAAATAGCTTCAGACTCGCTATCCATTACGATTCCAAACAATCCACTGGATTGGCGCACTATTTGGTGTTTGTACTACTCTGGAATCCAGAGAAAAACCTTTAAATATGTTAAAACTTTGTGGGAACCATCAAAGAAAACTCCCTCTCTTCAGGGATTTAATCCTTTGTCAACCAAAGGGTCCCCCTTTTGGAGTTATTTGATGACAATTTCGGCGACCAACCCTAAAATGTTTCTAAAGGCGCCAATGCATACTAATTTTGAAGGGTAGCGCTCGCCGAAAAAGCAGGAATTTTTGGTCAACAAAAAGTCCAAAAAATTTCAAAAAGGTATTTCTGATCGGTGATTTCAAACATTTACCTGCGGCGCAGAAAATTTGTCAAAATAGGGTCTTCATAGTGTTCTGGGAGCGCTCGGAAAACTAATTTGGTCGACCTAATAAAAAAAACTGTCGACAAAAATGGTCGAAAATCCTAGATCCGCCCGAGTGTAGGGGGGGATGTAGTAAACACCACATGGAAAGGGTAATATCAGAAGCCAACTCCAATTTCTTTTTAAAGCATTCGGTTCAGTGGTTTCTCTTCCGAGTTAAAATTGTGGGGGGGGGGGGTACATACAAGTGTCATAATGGGTCCCTGAAAAAAGCCCACAGCTAAGTTCAATACTACGCAAAAAATTGTACTACTATGAAAAAGTGGTCGCTTGAAGAAGCAACTATGATAGACAGGCCCCGCATAAATTTCGCATAAAAAAATTTTGAAAACTAATTTGTGCATAAACTATTCTAAAAACTCACGAAAATGGGGAGGAACTTTGTTTTCGGGTGTATTTTAGTTTTTTTGAATGCAAAATCAGATAACACAAAGAATCATCGGACTGGGATGAGTGATATATCATACTGAAACCCTTTCAATCGTCATTCGAACTACCCAAAAAAAATTTCCAAACAAAATTCCCAGTGTCGAGAAAAACCGGTTTGAAATTTTAGGTTTTCGTATAATTTCGGCCAAATAAAAGGATGATAACTTGTTAAATTGGTCATTTAGGTTTTAAAATAAACAGAAACTAGTTTTGAAAGCTATATTTAGCACTTCCCTGGCAAGAATTTTTTTAAAATTAAAAAATAATGTAGAAGCAGAAATTCGATTTTTTTTTCATGTTGTTTGTTTGTTTTTCTTGTTTTTGAAGACAACTGCTGTCGATTATGCCTAATAACTGAAATTCTACGTAGGTATATAGTTTTAGCTTTACACCACGCGCAAAAAAACGACACCAATTTGAAGAACTTTATACTTTGAAGAATTTTTATTTGTTGTTTTTATGAATATGGTCGGAACATTCTGTGTCACTTGCACAGCAACTGGCTACCCTTGTTAATAAATTGTTTATACCAATAAATTTGCTCGCTTCAACTTGTTTTCCGATTAAACAACCATAATTGGGCTAACTTATTTGTCATCTAACCTCACTTTTGGCGTTTTTTAAGGTTCCACCATAAAATGGAGAGTTGGGAGGTTTTAGGAAATATCGAAACATGAAATTTGTTTGAAAATATATAGTGACATCTTTCTAAATGGCAAACTCGTAATTATTGAACAAATGGAGAGCTCTAGGTGTCTTAATCTTAAATGACCCCGTTATTTCCAAGAAACCACACATCATAGAAGCACCCAAAAAAAACTGAAAACTCCTTAAGAGCTCGTTAAAATATCTTCAGCGACCGATATACAATTTTGGAACTCAGCAATCATAGTTGTACCTTGTACCATTATTGAACTTGCTTTTACCTCGCGGGGCTCCTGGCCAGGCGGACATGCCGAGCATCTCTGGCATACTGCCGCAAAGGGGTCATAGTAGAATCCAGACTGGCAGTTCCTATCCGCTACGCGTCCCTCCACCACGTCAAACCCCGTCCACAGTGTCAGACACAAGACAACGAGGAGAGGTGTGGTGTCCAAGTAGAAGTAGTTTCGTGTGTAGTAATAATTAGTTGCAGAGGAAGTCATAGTAATAGCGTACTTGGTTAACTAACATTCAATCCGTGCAGGGCTAAAAAGTAAGAATCATATCGATTCAATTTTGCAGCGTCGTTGCTTTTAAAAAAGATAAGAACTAAATCAAATAGATTCCGTTATTAACAGGTTTTGATACGTTTGTATCTATCATTGAAATGTCTCTTCAAGAACTTGAAAATGATTGCCCTAATAATTGCTGGCAACTACTCATTGGAATTAATTGCATTTATGATTTATCTAGCAATAACAGAATATTTATGATACCAAAGTAACGCCGATGTACTACACTTACACAGTCATGCGCAACACAACATCTACTTTCACATGCAGGGGGTCTGAAAAAAAACAAACCAGGTGATATATGTTGTTGATTGTTGACAAATAATTATACTCTCATCAATGATTAAATCTAAATAACGATAACTTACTTAAGTGCGCAGATCTCGTATCGAATAAAATAAAGTACAAGTGGTGCTAAAAAAATTGAAAGCTAATTTCCATTCATAATATATTTTTTACGCTATAATAGGAACTGTGGATAGCTGGTAGCGACTCCGTAACTGAGAGAACCACCGACAGTGCATGCAAACGCAAAAAAACAGACGTTGCTCTCTGAACAAATATTTGAACTAAATTTCAAGTCTTGACAGGCAGAAAAACAATGAAACTAGAGCAAAAATATGTTTTCTATGTCAACTGCAACTTCTAACTTTTAAACTGAATTGAAAATTGTTATTGTGACTTGGTTCACTCGATCATTGTTAAAAATTCCGTTTTAGTCACCAGCAAGTCTTACTCGGAGCAATTTTTCAATGGATTGAAAGTAATAACAATTAAAGTAGGATAAAAAGAACGCCTTTGATAAGATTTAAAATGAACCGGTAACCACTTATATCGTCTGTGTAAAAAGCGACAAATAGACACCTTTATCTACTAGGAGACAGAAAAACACTGGGAACAGGCAAACATTTATAGGAAAAAAGTTTCGATTTGAAAGATTACGAGCCAGATGTATTTCCGGATATATCATGCCTTTATAGAGCCTTGACAGCCTGTTAGCACAATGTTCTGACCACGCATATTTTTGTGCTGTAATATAAACTCTGTTATTTTTCCCATATTTTTTGTAATTTAATTAGTGAGGTAGGACTGACTTTATGAATAAACCATAACGATCAGGTATATACTTTTAAAATTATAAAACAAGTAGATAGGAATTTCAGTTCGAAATTTCCAGTCTGAAAAAATTACTTTTTCTCGACACAATTTTTTGAAATTTCCTTTTGGAAGAATCACGACCACAAGGGCTCAATAGCAAGCAATTCAAAACACGGTACACAGACATTGTGAGTGTGGCTGCTACATTTTAGACTATCTAGACTTACCTCAAAAATCTTTTGATTCGGAGAATTGAAGAATATTCAATAAATAACCCTGAATTCGAGTACATGGATTAAAAATCAAGATAATAAGATAATACTGTTTTTGAATGAGAATGTCTAAAAATTAGGCCAACCAGTGATTCACTGCGAGGAAAAGCTATTGGGAAGGAGGTCAATTTTGCCAAACTACGAGCAAGTCTCACTTTGTCGACTATACCAGCTCTGTTGGTAAGAAAACAAACAGGAGAACTTCTCGCTTGATTTGATGTGTTATATACTTGGGACTATAATTTCCACAATGGATATTAAGGGGAGAAAAGTGGGAATAATTTCGGTATATTGACAGTGCGCAAACATGAGTAGCGAAATATAGCCCGCAATTTAAATATTGTTGTTACGCACAGGGACTCATGGAAGGGCGAGCGGAATTCCTAATTTAATTCTCTCTAAATGGCCAGATTTAAACAACAATGCCAATAGTCTTTCATTCGAGTGTTTTTAATTTGCACCGAAAGGTAACACCAAATTAGCCTAATGAACTCCATAGCTTAACTTCCTGTTTCTCTCGCTTCTCTTCTTCGTTGAGAATACATAAGAATAAAAAAGAAAGTGACAAAATGCTACTGGGTATTACTTTCAGAGTTGTAGAGGGCGCAATTGGAACTGAACTTTGAAATTATACAACAGCACTGGGGAATGAAACTGCAAAGACCAGCCAATCCTAGGGTGCTATAAAGTTAGGTTGCAACCTTTGAAGCACCCCAGTTACCGTCGCGTGGTATTTAGAGCAGAATAAATGAAATTAAAAACAAAGTGGGGAAAGATTCCTTTTCGCTTCACAAAAATGAAGCTAGGTAAATTGAGAGCAGATGAGCACTTAAGTAAAAATACTCCGAATGCTTCTTCATTCTATAATACATTAAGGGGAGAGGCAATCTCTTTATTACACGGCCTATACCATTAGAGACCGATTAAAACAAAAGTTAAAAGCAAAAAAAAACATTTGGAAAGCCTATCAATCTTTTCATACCAGTTTTCAACGGCATTGATAGGAGGGTGAATTGCGGTCAAAAAATTATCAAAAAAACAACAGCCAATGAGTTTCTTTTCAAAGATGGCCGGAATAAAATTACCCATTCACAGGCCAATCATTACATCTTAAGCAACATTTCTCGCTTAGAAGGTAGAAAGAAGTAAATGGATTCTTCTCAATACATTGAAGCTTTTTTTAGCCAAGAGTTTTGTATTAATTGTAGTATTTGGAGAAACCCATTAATCTACCACTTTAAACAGAAATGTTTGGCATAAAAAAATAGAGGTTTTTAAGTCTTGAGATTCTTCTCAATGTACTTGAAGCTTTTTTTTTAGCCAAGATTACTTTATTATTTGCAGTACTTGGAGGAAACGAGAAATCAGAAACACTTATCGCGCGTTACTTATCCCAAATTGGCAAAATTCATACTCCCTTAACTTAACAAAAAACAATCGCAGGTGAAATATCTTTTTAAAATTGAGCTCAGGAAAACAATATCCATCAGATGGTATAAAAAGTTCCGTCAAAAATACTTAGTTAAAAGTCAAAATTGACTGAATAAAAACAGCCAACCTACGCATAATATTCCGCGCTTTCTTCGAAAGTCGGAACAATAAAAAGAAAGGTTGACTGAAATAACCAATCGCACCTTTGACAGAAAAAAATTGCAATTTTTATATGCATAAAATGTTTGCAGATAAATACTTAATTATAGTCTCCGGAAAAGCTGTAATTAAATCAGGGTGAAAATTGTAAATGCCACTTTCAGTTTAAATAGGAATAGACGATTTCTGTGCTAGTAGCAAAGAAAGTTACCTTTCATAAAAAATTCAATAAGAAACTTAGGTCGTGTTTTTTTACTCTTCATAAGGAACTTCAAAAGTCTTTATTTTGTGAGTTTTTTGATAGAAGAAGTGATCAAACGCATAGAACACATTTTATTTTATTCGTTCTAAATGAGAACAAAAATCTCACACCGGCTTTTCTCGACACTGGTAAAACTTTTCGTGAAATGTTTAATGTTTTTCGAATAACGACTGAAAGGCTTAACGACGATATATCACTCAACACATTCCGATCATGATTTTCGGTATCTGATTATCTTGGAAAACAAAATAAGCCTGCTCACTCACTTCATTGTATTCGCTTAAAACTCGACCAAACATTTCAAACCAGTTTTTTGACACTGAGAATTGTTTGGAAACTTTTTTAGTTTCGTTCAAATTACGACTGAAACGGTTTTACGATATATTACTCGAACCATTCCGATAATTTTTCATGGTACCTGCTTTCACGTGAAAAACAAAAAGACATCCGAAGACAAAAATCTTCACAATTTTTTATTGGTCGGAATAAAAAGAATGTCCGTACAAGGGCGAAGTCCTGAATATCTTTAATGCCGCTTAACGTTAAAGAAATTAGTTATGCTTAAAGAAAATTAAATTGTTCACGAAAAACATTCCTCCACAAAATTTCTCCACATGAAGTATAGGGCAATATATCTAGCTTCTAACAATGAGTGAATCAAATTAAATAGCTTGCCTTTTTGCCTGACTACAAGCAATACATCACAAATACAACATGGCAAGCTGGTTGAATCAACAGGAAATTATTTGGAAGCCGAGTCATTTTTTTAATCTCGAAAGAAAAGATCTATCAAGTTTTCATGATCAACACTATTTATTTTCAAAAAGCTTGATTTCGAGAAGGCCAAGTAAAACAACTGAATGAAAAAATTAGCTTTGAAACAAAACTCACGAAGCGGTTATAAAGCTGGCAGTTTATGCTTAGCCATTGAATTCTTATCACTGAGCAAGTCAATTTCACTAAGTAGCACGATTTTTCAATCATAGGCGGCGTTTAACATTCATAGCAACTTGGGGAAAACTGATTTCCATAAAATTGAAGAAAGAGGTGAAGCGGAGCCAGCGAATAGAAAATGAGACTGAAATACCAAAATCGAAAAAAAAATTGTTGGAAAAAAAACGAAAATAATTTAAAAACAGTCAAGAAACACAGCAAACAGCATCCGTGATGTGACAACTAAGCCGACAAAACTTGAGCAGACAAACAAGTCCATATATTCATTTTCATACATACTGAAAGAAACGAGTTCCATTCAGTACCTGAGTCAAGAGCTTAAGATGCAAAGGCAACCGCGTTACCTTTCGTCATGTGTGAAGGAGTCTCGAAGTTCAAACAAAGCAACTTCAATTTCTTAGAGATTTGAAAGAAAAATTGTTTACAGGAAAAAAGTCTAGTTCCCGCTTACAAGACAATTGCTCTCGCAAGTGTTATTAGCGTTAGAGCAAAACATCAGGGAATTTGTAGAACACAAGTTCCTAAGGTATATGTCCGCCGAAATCTTTTGGGCAGAATATATTGTTCAAGCGATTTTAAAAAAATAAACAAAGCCAAGGTTATTAAAACTACAAACAGCAGGAAAAAAATACAAACAACTATATTGTAACATCAACAAAAAACAATTCTCCGATTAGGAAACTAAGCCGACAAAACATCAGCAGACAAATAATAGGCCGACAATTTTGAAACGGAATATTTGCCCTTTGAAAAACTCAAAGATTCAAACAAAATATTCAGATAAATAGCTTGGATGCAAGACCTCACAGCATGCAACAAAAAGATGGCAAAAGGTAGCAAAAGTCAAAACGGTAACTTGAGAGCTTGTAAAAAAAGGACCTGAATTCTGCCCTGTAAAGTCTACTATAAGAACTCGTAAAAATATTGACCTGAATTTTTCCCTACACGGTGTTATACATTTAATTTACACTCGTACACAATATCTTGCGTACTTTGCTCATTAAACCAAGAGTGCAAAATGAGCAAAATTTTGAGCCAAAAAGTATTATAGCTTTAAAACTGAGTTCTACGCTAATGCCCAGTCAATATGATACATTTGAAATTTTCCAAATTCCAGAGCTGTTTCCTCCCTGCTAAAAATTGAAAATAGACGCTTATGCACGAAAATTCCCATAGCCTGTTTTTCAAATGAATCTTAATCCCAGTTTTCGGAGGGAAGTTTTCGAGAAAAAAGAATGGCTCAAACAATCCCCCCCCCATCGAAAGTTACGTAGGCCGTGAAAATTGAATCATGATAAAAAAGAGAGTAGGGCCAAAACAAATCATACCAAATAAGAATTGTATTTTTACAGCCAACGTAAAAAAACAATTCCGGCTCTTTTCCACTTTACCTCTCATTGCAAATTACCCATTTTTATGAAATATCTGCATCCTGTTACGACTAAATGTGTAATTTTAATTTAAGAGTTATGAAGAACAAATCTGAATTTGCTCATTATGCAATATTTCATTGCATTACAACAGTACAGTGCTGATTTAAATTAACCGGACAAAACGCGTTAATTTTGAAATTTAAAATCCGTTTTTCTCAAATTGGGTTGAGTTTAGGTGAAAACTTATTGAGACAAAATTTGCCTTAAATTTTAGCAGAATTAATATGGTGAAGTTTGTTTTGCGAAATTCGGGCCCGAAATTTTACCCCAAAAAAGGGTCATTTTGGCTTTTTTAGTTAATCAAAAACTACGCCAAAAATACCCAGTCGATCACAGACATAATTATATCAAATGGAGCCTCTTACCTAGCCCAACAAACTTTATGAAGGGTGTTTTCTCCAAAATATTGTATACATTAATTTATTTTTGTTTGATAGACAAAAAAGGTCATTTTTACTATATAAAATACCAACTTTTTATTTAAAAACAATTTTTAAACAATTTCCAAATTTCTTTTGGAGAGAATACCTTTCATAAAGTTTTTTGGGCTAGGTAAGAGGCTCCCTTTGATATAATTATGTCTGTGATCGACTGGGTATTTTTGGCGTAGTTTTTGATTAACTAAGAAAAGCCAAAATGATCCATTTTTGCGGTAAAATTTCGGGCCCGAATTTCGCAAAACAAATTACACCATATTAATTCTGTTAAAATTTTAGGCAACCTAAACTCAACCCGATTTGAGAAAAACGGGTTTTAAATTTCAAGTTTAACGCGTTTTGTCCGGTTAATTTAAATCAGCACTGTATTAAAATAAATTTTCAGAATTGAAATATATGGGGCGGTTGGGAGTTCAAAAAAAGCCAAAATTCCAAAAGAACGTGTATTCAAAATGCTCAAAATATGTCTGTTGGCTGACGAAAGTATAGACTGAGAAAGTGTGTAACCATTTTATAAAAACGGTGAGATGAAGCTAATAATTTTTCATGATTCGCCAACTGTCCACCCTTGTTATTTGGTTGTAATCTTGGCGGGATATAACTTGATTTTTATGCGAGAAAAGTCTAGGTGTGACCATTTTACATGCATGCATCCGGACTACTTGACTATCTAAGTAATTCTGTTCTAACAAGACCGGCTTCGTAATTAATGGAAAAATTTGTGGAATTTAATGACTGAAAATAAACAAACGGGTAGTATGAGATCTCTTTATTTCAACATCGGTTGAGATGTATCAAAAAATAATAATTTTATTTCCAAAACAGCAGATCAATTTGAAAGTAAACTTCAATTGTCGTTTTTCAATTAAAATGCCTAGTTTTTCAAAATTGACGCTCAGCATTTCTCGTTTTCTTTCAATCAATCTGACTAAGCTTTGAGATCCTCGACCAATGTTTCTTTACTAATGATGTCAATGTTACCAAAAGAAACGCCATTACTACGCCGAACGCCATAACGAAGCCAATTACGAAACGTGTCAAGCTTGAACTTTCTACCTTCAACTGAACATCTGGTTGAAATTGACCTGTGTAACTAACTACTCGTAGTTTTATTTTTCTCGAATATGACCTTCAGTGGGTTATTTCATATTGTCCAACATTTTGTTATAGATGTAAGAAATAAGCAATATAGTTATTTAATGCCAACTATGAACTAGATCAACAAAGCTCAATCTCACCCATATGACACCGAGACTATTGTTTGTTAATTGTTACACTTTTATTCAATACTAATGGTTTTGGGCGCAACTAGCCATTGTTAATTATTCAGAATGATGCAGACACGTTTCTACCTAGGGATTCTGATTTTCTTCTCTTTAGTGGCAGGTACTGCACCCACCTCGACTACTAACCAAACGAGCAGTACGTCAACCACTGTGGCTGAAGGCACCACAGAACTTACAACCACCGTCGCCACTAGCCTTACAAACACCATCACTAAGCCTACAACAACTGCCACAACTACAACAACTGCCACAACTACAACAACTACCATCAATACTACTCTTCCGATAACCACAGTTGAAACATTTGAGCCCTCGCCATCACATGGTACAAGTTCTATAACTAAAGGCACGATCATAGTAGTTTTGACTGGCGTCGGCATCCTTCTTATCGCTTATCTCATCTACATGAAATTCGACAGACACCGAAACTCAAACCCGATACCATTCATCGCTTTAGAGGACGAGGATGACGACGACGACATTTTGAGTCTTACCGAGATGAGTGGCAGCGGAGAGGGCGCACACAATGAAGTTCGCTACCGGCATTCGAACCACAGTGAAGACCACATTCAGATAGGACCTTTCAATAATCACAACCCTCGAGTCGTATTCGAGGACCGACTAGCTGACACTTTTGATTCGAATGTGAACCAAAGAGCTGTCACAAATAACGGAGATTCGAACAGTGCTGATATGGTTGTTTTCGAAATCTAAAGACTTGAAATTGTGCAGAAAACAAATTGGATAAAACTCAATTAGAGCAAAATAAATATTTCAAGTTAGGTGAAGCCATTATCTAAATTTCACAAGTATCTGAACAAACTTTTTAAAAAAGGGATTAAATTGTTAAGTTTTAGAGCACAGCCTTGTTAATAAATCGAGAAAAAGTTTTTTTTCGTTTGAGATGGGAAAGACGAGAGAAGACAGAATGAGGTGAAAAATCAGTCAAGTTACGAATTGACAATTTCAGTTATTTTGATGACGTTTCAAGCTGTTAGTAGCGAAGGATTATTAAAAGCACTGGTGCAGTCGTTTGACCATACTGCTCAACTGCACGTGGATGTTAAATAGTACGTTCACGCTTCATGATTTCTGAAAAATGGACGTATGCACTTTATTGCCATCATTCATCTCCGTGAGTATCAACACGAATCCTCCTGTTGTGTATCCGAAACACATGCTTTTGAAATCCAAGTACACTGCAGATTCAATTTCAAGCATCCTTTTGTCCAGCTTCTTTTGCCCCAATACGAAATCTTTCAAGTTCTGAACTGTCATCATAAATAGTTTGTTACTGACGTCGAGGCAGATGAAGATAGGGCCGAATGCCACTACGCGTTTGACACCCCCGATCGCCTTCTCAGTCTTTTGATGAACATTGCAGTCAATTGAATTACTTAATGAGCCAAACATTTAATCAAATTATTTTAAAATCATTTCAATTTATCAACATTGTATGCGCGAGGATCATTGACGACATTATTCAGCATTAAATTCCTTAATTAAACACCAGCAAGCGATACGGGTCGTATTTTAAACGAACGTTGGCTAAAAATTGCATACCTTGTAAGCAAAAGGTCTCAAACTTAAGGTATTCAGACTCGTTTTTTTATTCAGTACAAGAGCAATGACTCCAAGATTCAACAATTTCAACCCAAAAACCCTTCAAAAACTATAGTCTATCTGTTGATTATTTAATTTGCAACATTAAATTGCAAATTAGTTTTTGCAACATTAAATTTGTGGTTAATAGTGTCGAAAAGTAATTAAAATATTTCCAGAAAGACTAAATAATATTTTCTATCATTTTCAAAAATTTTCAATGATTCGCATTTAACTTTCATGACTTGCCTTTAGTGATACAAACTTGTCTTCAGTTATGTATCATGAATTGACCTAACTTGCCTTTAGTGATACAAAATTCATGACACTTTCATCGCAAATGTCTATATTTTCTTTTCAAATTTATTTTTTACTGGGCTAAAATTGCTTGTAATTTTTTTTACTTAAACTGGTTTGAAATTATTTCATTGACAACTAGCAATTTTCTTGACAACTGAGCTCGCAATGTTAATCAACGCGTACACGATCGAGGACTTCTGAAATAAAGCAAAAATTTCACAACGTCATTGGACATATGTCCAAATTTTGGTTGAAAATAGTCGATTAAATTGACCTTTTCAACTCAGACTTAATAACACGGATAATTTTTGAGTTTCTTAAACATGTCACTTGTCCGAAATTTTTCGAAAAAAAGCAACCAGATTTAATGTAACTCTAGTAAGCTGACTTGTGTAAAACAGAGTAAACACTTTTTACAAGGGCAAGCACTGTAATCTGGCTTGTGTAAAAACAGAGTAAACACTTTTTTATAAGGGTAAACATTTAAAAACTTGGAAACTAGTTATATGCATTATCAGAGCAAAAGATCTCTTGGAATAAAAACTAGAGCAGCAAGTTTCTGAATCAAACCACCAAATGGAAAGTGAATGTAATAAAGCGACTCAAATGAAATACTTCAATGGAATGAGTCATGCTTTAAAATCATCATAGGAAATACACCATTCTATTGAAATAACGAACCTTGAATGCTTAAAGCGTCAACTTCTGATCCATTGATGAAATCCAGCTCCAGGTATAGACTTGGGTGTAGAAAAAAATTGGAAAATGAGTGCACCAGAACAAGGCGAGGAGGCACATCTTTAAAGTCCACATGAAGAACGAGCAGAGTGCTATCTAAAATTTTTTTTAAAATCAGCAAAACTGGCTTCCGTGCTGTTCAAATCATCGTTACGTTGTTGAAATGTTTCGCACTTTAAGGCATAAAAAGGAGTAATTAAGAAACTTAGTCGAATAAGCATTGAAAACAATTAAAAACTTTTTAAAAAATCGTAGTCATTAAATTTACAACCAAGATGAAAACTCAGAGGCGAAGCTGAGCTTCGCACCACTGGCGATACAACTAAATCTACCAAAATGAATAATGATAATTGAGAAAAAAAACATGCCCAAACAAAAGAACGCAAAACCAGCAACGGAACAAAAAAAACAAGCGGTGTTTTTTTGATTAGGCACGATTGCAATACCTTTGTTTATCGGAAGGGTAAACAAACTTTTCGTATGAGTATGAAAAGAGTCTATGTTATGCTAATTGCACGTGTAACACAGAGGCGAAGCAAGCTAGCGAATAGAAAATGAGACGGAAATCAATGTCGAAGAAAATCATTCTGAAAAGAGTTTTTTACCGTCGAGAAGCAACCGTCAGCATTAAATAAACTAAGTATCATTTACCGAGTGGTCGCTAAGTCGACAGTATGTAGGTAAATGCACATTGAGCCGGCAAAAAACATCGTAAGAAACTGGTCACTAGGGTTTTAAAAAGAGGCGAAGCAGAGCGTCGCGCGAGTTCTGATACCACATAATAGCATCATTAAACTTCAAAAAATTGGCTGGAATGTCCTTCTATTTGCCAAAGCACGACCAGAAAAACAATCGAAGGAAAATAAAAGATCATCGAGCTGCAGCAGCCGACAAAACTTGGTTAAATTCCCGTAGAACCGAAATAAAATTCCATAAACCGAAAACTATAAGTTCTATTCTATTTAGCATTTTGCGCGATCCAGAGAAGAGCATTAAATAACGTTTGACTTGAAACGACCCGAAATTAGGCCGCTAAGCGGATAAAACATAAGCCGAAATCAATTGGACCGAATAAAGTTTTTAAGCGAAAAAAAAACAAGGGAAAATAGACGAAGTCAAGATTAGTAAATTAACAACTAGCAGTAATAAATCAAAACACTAATAAATAAAACTACAAGTTAAATTTCATACAGCAAAAAGTGAAGATATGTCTAATCAGTCGACAAATCATGAACATAGTCAACGAACGCAGCTAAAAAATACTGACTTGTACTTAATTAAAAATCTCAACCTTCGAAAATCGAAGGAAAAAATAGATTGCCTTAAAATGATTTGATTTAATGGAACATTTTATGATTGACACTTTTTCATAGCAAATAACCTAATTTGAGAAAATTGGATCAATGGTATTTTTTTTATTTTACTGCGAATTTCAAAATTAAATTCCACCTTCTAAGCTAGAAGTCGACCGTGTTTTGTGGCCTTTACTGTTCAATAGTTGAGTTTGCATTCATTTAATTTAAACAAAAAATGAACTGAACTTAAAAAGCAATCAAAAATCAAACCACAAAAACTTAAATTTGAGCCTCGACAAAAATTAGGACTCACCTGAAAAAATCATCACGACCCACAGAAGATTCTGAACTACTTTCATCAATTCTTTCTAAGCGAACAATTATTAGGCCGACAATTTTTTAAAACGGAATGGTTTTCGCTTCCGAAAAATTGGTCCTGGCCTGGTTAGACTCAAACCTAGGCGTATGCGTATTCCTCGCCTTCAGATTAGGTAGGCCGCAGACTCTAAAATATTTGAATTCCAAGATACCAGGTGATTCTGTTAAGCAAGTTGTTAACCTGAAAAAAGTCTACATTCCGATTTGATAACGCCTGCTAATCTTAAGCGTATAAACTTGAAACTTCTACACCGCAACCTTCTTGAATGACTTTTGTTTATATATTTATCAAATTTTGACCTTCAAACGACACAAAACAAGTTGACTAAGCCAATACAACAAGTTGAAACCACTTTAATCGAAAAAAAACTTATTCAAAATCCGAGTTGGTAAAAGGACAAAATAACAGGAAGACTGTCAAAAATAATGAAAAAAATCTGAACTTAAGCTGACATAAAATGAGCAGACAATCGGAAATCTGACAAATCAATTTTTGGAAAAAACTTTCAATTCCATACATATGGAAAAAACAACGTCCGACCGGGACTCGAACAACAGACCTTACGGTGAAAGGGAAAACGCATGACTTAAGGGCGCAAAAAAGTGTAGGTAAAAGCTGCAAAACTTTCAGAAGCTAACAAAAATGGACATAGTTGAAACTGAGCTTCGCACTACTTGCGATACAACTAGAAAGCCGCAAGGTCGGAAAAAAAGAAAACCTTTAATAACAATCAATCAAAATTAATAAATCTATTTTTGAAACAAAAGATACAAAGATAATAGAAAAAGAAAAAAGCATCGGAAGAAAGTTTACCAAGCGGTAACAAAGGCAAAGATACTTTAGCAGAACAGGAAAAACTTTAAGCCAAAAAAAACATCCAGAAGACTTAAAACTTATAAAATGTTCAAGTCCGCCTCGCCCTCAAAACACACAAAAACTTTAACTGCTCGTCAGAGTAAACAATATGAGGCCACTAAACCGATAAAAAATTTGCCGAAACCTATTAATCCGAAAACGAAGGGAAAAATACAAAAAAGCCGAAAAAAACTAAACTGTTAAGACTAATAAGAATTTATCAAGTCCCCCTCACCCTGAAAACACAAACGCACATACAGGTTTTCCGCTCGTCGAAAGGTTCAATATGAGGCCATTAACCCGATATAAAATAGGCCGAAATCTATCAATCGGAAAAAAGAAAAAACAAAGGCCGAAAAAAATTTTGTCATGAAAACACACAATTTATTTTAGGATGTTTAGCACTGTGCGAACCAGAGGGGAGCTTAAAAATCATTTTTCCCTTGAAGCAACTCAAAATTAGGTCACTAAGCCGACAAAATGAAAACCGATATCATTTCGGCTCAACAAAGTTTTTATGAGAAAAAAAAGAGAAAAAATACGAAGTCAACGCTAGTAAAATTACGAACAGCAGAAAAAATCCAAATACTAAGCAACTACAATGTAAATTAGGTACAGCTAAAAATTATACGATGTGGCAACTACGCCGACAGAACATAAGCAGAAAAACAATAAGCCCACAAGTTTTTTGATACGGAACAATTCCCGTTTGAACAAAAACAGGTCCAGTCAAAGTCGAACCCAGGACCTTTGCTGTCCCGGGCGTATTCCTTAACTCTAGACCAAATAAGCCAGAGACGCACAAAAATTTGAAATCATTGTGAACTGAATTTAAATAACCTGTTTCTAATTTAGACCATTCTGTGAACAAAGTTATTTACATGAGAAAAAGTCTAGTACTCGATTGCAATACCCTTGCTATCGCAAGGATTAAAAAAAATGCAAAGAAAAGCTGATTTTTGGCACTTAAACAGACGCAATTAAAACGATCAGATAAAATTAGTTTCTTTACGCCAATCATTAGAACCAGCGCATTTGAAAATTGGTAGTTATCTGAAACAAAACTAGTAGTTGATACCATAGACGTCAGTAGAGCGCAGACATGTGAAACGACGTGCCAACATACGTGGTTCAAGTTTTGACAAATTGCAGTATTGAAAGTAACCAATTATAAAATATTTGATCTTTGGCACTGTATTTTTCGAGTTAATTAAAAAAAACTTCAAAATTTTTTTCTAAACGAAACCTCGCGTAGCAAAAATAAAGGTAAGCTTTCAAAAATCTGTTGTGTCGATTAAACCTATGATATTAGATTTGGCCGGATAGTTATCGAGAAAAGTCCAAAAAACGGTCAACAAATCAGATAGTTGACATATCCGAGAATCAGCTTTTCGTTTAGAAAAAAAACTGGTTTTAGACATGTTTTGCAGATGTAATGCACCCTAAATGTAATTACGATTGAACCCAAAAACCCAAGTTTAGCAAGGTAGTTCTCGAGAAAACGGTCAAATAATAAAAACTGACTTTTCCATAGTTTGTTGTGTCAAAAAACTTGGGCGTAGTCGGTTAAATAGAGGCTCTTCCCACAACCCGTTCTTTGTATTGAACCCAAAGTCCCGATATGGGAGCATATTTTTCCGTAAAATTCGTAAATTTGAGAAAAAAACGCCCAGAAAATCAGCTTTTGAGAAACTTTTTTTTTTTGCATAAAGTGATAAAATTTTGCAATGCATCGCAAAAAAAAGAAATTAAAACCCAATACCATACATTTTTATTAAGCCTATTACTGTTTCATCAAACAGAAATTCTAGGTAAACATGCCAAGCAAGACATTTTAAATTCAAATTAGCAACTCAACAAAACTTACGAAGCGGAAACAAGGCCGACAATCTTTGAGCATACACCAGTTGAGACAAAAAACTTTTTGTTACAAAAAGTCACCCTAAAACTATGCTGTAATAAATAGTACCCACACAGTAAATAAACCTGAATTTCCATGAAATTGAGCATGTCAGCTGATTGAGCAAGTGATTCAACTGATTTTGTTAAACTAGTAGTAAACCCAAAACATAGTCAACATTCCAATTTGATATTGCCTGCTAATCGCAAGCAAAAAAAAACAGGATCAACTTTTCTATTCCGCTGGAAAATCCAAAAAATGTACTCTATTTTAAAAATAACCGTCAATCACGTTTTTTCTGACCATTTAGGTTTTTGTTTTTGGACAGCAAACCGCAGTTAAATTCAACTAGTGTGAAACGCACCTCAGGCATTTCGATTTTTTATTAACTTATAAAAAAACTGCATAAATTGGAAATATCATCTGCATCTTTTGGTGTACTCTGAAAGCACCTGATTACAGTGTTGGTAATTTTTTTTTTCAAGTTTTGAAATTCAAATTTTGAAAAACCATAACATGTTGTGAAATTTTTCCTTTAATTTGAATTCTTTGAAAAAATTTACAATGACATAAAAACGTTAAATCTCGGAAACTGAAAGCAATTGAGCAGTCGCTTTGGACGAAAGATTTGCAACTCCTGAGAGTACTCTCTCAGTTCCCAAGTACAGCGTTTGATTTTCAAATTTTGTTTGAAAAACCACTAAAAACTTCGTAACTCGAAAACTACAATGTCAAATTTGGAGGCAAGATTTGCACCCCCTGAGAGTACTCTGACAGCCCCCAAATAAAGGGTTAGGAATTTCACCTTTTGAAAAAAAAACTTTAAACTTATGTTTACTGAAAATTTTCTGAAAAAACGTCATAACAGAAAAACTACAAAGGTTTGATCAGTGATTTTTGTAGATTATACACTGACAGCTACCAACTACAGGGCTGGGAAGTTCAAATTTTGGAAAAAAAATAACTACGTTTTCTGAAATAAAAAAAATCACAAAAACGTCACATCTCAAAACTAAAGGATTTGAGCAGTCATATTTGGAGGCGAAACTCGCAATCCTTGAGAGTACTCTGACAACACCCAACCACAGGGTTCAAAATTTCACATTTTGTGAATTGTTTTGTAATTCAAACTTTTTGAAATTTTTTTTTAAATCACCAAACTGGAAAATCGAAAAAAAAATCTTAAACATTGCAAAATACGATATAGCTTAAACGTTTTCTTTAGTAAAACATGCAAAAAATAACTTTGAAAAAACTTAAGCAGTGAGAGATAGTGAAGCCCACTTTTAAATATATAACAGTGTTCGATGCTTAAACTTAATTTCTTCGGCGATAACTTTGAATCAAAACCTACCTTTAACTTGAACAGCAACAGTTGCATTTGACAAAGCTACAGCATTTACGCTTCTCCTTCGAGTGTCTGTGTATAAAGCAGATACACTGGCTGTACATTTTTGCTTCCCTTCGTCCAGCTCGGATGGATCTAATCGAATAGTTAGAAGTCGCACATCCCCATTTTCTTGGCCTATTAAAATCCGACGGCCATCTTTAGTCGAGGCTGTTATTTCACTAGACAGCGGTAGAGCCCATGGGTCATCAACTTGCAGATAAGTTTTGTCATACCGCGTGAACTTCAGGCAAGCATCTTTTCCAGCAGAAATCAACGTCGAAGGAAACTTGCGAAAAATGGAGCGACAGTAACAGTGTAAAGCTGTAATTGGCCCGCTATGCAGTCTCGCGACCCATTTCACTTTATGAAGAGACTAAAGCTGTTTTTGTTCTGCTATACAAATCTTTATTTGTTTCCATAACCATTTAATTCATAGCTCCGAAACAGCCATTACAGTTAATTATTGGAAAAAATACCATTGTTCTTGATTTGTATAGCAGAAAAGGTTACTTTAGGTTCAAAAATTCCAACTGAACCATCTATACATCCAACAATTAGAAACCCGCAACATATTATTGTCGCAGAAATTGTAGGAAAATTGAGTTTGAAGAAGCTTTGATTATAAGATCTGCCCAAAGAATCTATATTGCACAGAGCCGAAAAATGAAAGCAAAATTTTTTATAGAAATTCGGATCTCTTCCTTTCAATGGAACGTCGGCAGAAACATGCGTAACCGCTTCTACAAAACGACCGGGTATTGATTGAAATTTATCTTTCCAGTCAACACATTCTTCGATCAGACTACTGTAATAAGCCGAAGCAAGAGACAGGTTTATAAGCGAAACCCCATCTAGCAAACGTAATATCATTTCCCAGACATTGTCTGGCAAATCTACGACCTCAGTCATCTGTCATTTCTGAAATATTAACTGGCTTTACTTCAAAACTAAAAAAAGCTTTGCAATCCCTAAAAGTGTGCAACTCTTTCTATCCGGGGATTCAATTGTCAAGATTCAGCCATGAAAAAAAATTAATTCGTTCATTACTCTTAAGAACGACAGTTTTCAAGCAATGACCTGTTTTGTGCCTAGCAATGACTTGTTTCGTGACTAGCAATGACTCTGTTTTGTGACTATCTATCAATGACCTCTGTTTTGTGACTAGCTATGAACAGGGCCCAGCAAAAGTCATTTCTATAGCTTTTAAGGAATTTATCGGAGTCTTAAATTTTTGAAATAATTCTGACCTTGAGAACAAGAAATAGCGTTGAAGCTGCACTCTAATTTTCAAAACAGCATTTGAACTGACATAGGACCAATGGAACATGGTTGCGCTTTTCGCAGAATTTCATTTTCGCCTTATTTCAAGAGCACAATTTAAAAAACTTTGTGCTTCAACAATGATTTGCCTGCCATGCAATTTTTCAGAACAAAAAAAAACACATATCTTGCCGACAAAAAGGCAACCGCGACACTTCGAATATGTATTTTGCTTAAGAGGGAATTTAAACATTTAAATTACGAACGTTTTTGCATATTAGTGCATCATCAGGCTCAGAAGTATTGAAATTTTAAAAAACGATCATCGATCATTAAAAAATCCTAACCCAATAGAAAATAAAAACTCAACCAACCATAAGTTTGCAAAAATAAACTTCGCGCTAAAATTGCATCATGATTATATCATCATATTAACGTTTCTGAGACATTCTATTAGTTTAACTAATGCCATGGCAGCGAGGACGCACCTTGTATAAGGGATTTCACATGTATAAGTCGTTTGGCAAACTCTAATCTGCGATTGGGAGTTCTTCCGGGTGCCAATGCAGCTTCCGAGGCCGAAGTCCGCAAAAGAAACCACTATTCAGACCTCCCTTCCACTGTAATTTTTGAACCCGTTGCCATGGAAACACTGGGTGGCGCTGGTAGGTCTACTGCAGTTTTCTTGAAAGAACTTGCAAGGCGAATAACAGTCTTAACGGGTGAGAAACTAGCTTTTAAATTTTTCAAACAAAAGCTAGACCTAGCGATTCAGCGCGGGAACGCTGGATGCATCCTTGAGGCAACTAGTTGACACACACCCTTCGCTTTACTGCTTCAACTGTAAACTGTGCGGTATATACGCTCTTTTTATTTCTTGTTCATTTTAATTGACTTTTAACCTTGAATTAGAACAAAAAGCAGATTCGATTAAAATTTAACTGTAATCAAATAATAAAAAAGTCTTTGAAATTCAGTCTTGGTTCGTTTTAATCGGTATATTCTGATCATAGTCGTAATATTGTTGGTGGTAATTAAAGCGGAAATAAGTGTTAGGATGGCGTCAACGGTAACGTTTAGGTGTATGCGATATAGGCGTCTTTCGCGCTTTCAATTGATTGTCACAATGGCTACATAGCCGATCTGGACGGCTAACGACAGCCGTCGCCTAAGAAAGGTTCCAGACTTTTGTCATCAGTTTCTAGAATAAATTTCCGGCAGAGGTGTTTCAAGAAGTCGTCGGAGTCAGTTCCGTGTCCGCAGAGGTGTTCGGCAGCAACAGGTTGGAAAATGTAGTTTCCACAGGTTCACAGGTTAACTTCTGATCTGTAGGCCTCCCAGGCCTCTGTCGACCAGCTCTTTCTTGACGTCCATTTCGTCATTCCATAAACGATGCGTCATATATATTTCAGACGCCCATAGTTTTTCTAGTCTTGATTTGAAAACGTGTACACTCTCGCTTGATATTACTGTTTCGGGTAACGATTTCGGCTCTTTTTCCTTTCCCCCCCACCTGCTAATTTTTATAATTGAAATTACTAATCATTTTGTCCGATTGTCATGAAAATTGACACGCCGACTCATTAGGCTATGACAAACATATTTAATTTTCATAATTAACCTCGTAAAACCCCTCGTTACACCTTAAAATTCATGTTTGAGTGAGGTGGGGGGGGGGGGGAAGGAAAAAGAGCCACGAGTTCAAATCGTTGATGGCTGCAACTTTAAAGAAATTTTGTCTAGTTGTAGTTCTGGTCTTCTTGATCACAACCTTGAAAGGGTTTCTTCTTGTGTCTCTTTCGTTGATTGTAAAAAATCCTTCAGTCGTTGTTGTATCGTCAAGGCCGTTCAGAATTTTGAAGAATTGCGTCTGTACTCGAGTGTTGGTATTTTCAAAATCTGGAGTCGTTTCGAGTAGCTATATTTGCGAGTACCTGAAATAAATTTCGTTGCTCGTCGCTGAACATTTTCAATCGTAATTTTGTCTTTTCCAAGGTATGGACTCCATGCCTGATTTGCATACTCCAGATAGGTTCTTACTAAGGCTTTGTACAGGGTCGTTAGAATTTCAGAGTTCAGGTTCACGAAGCTTTTCCTGATTATTGCGACTATACTATTTGCCACTTTCGTCTTTTTGGCGATGTGCTCACGGTATAGTAATCTTGAGTCAACGACAACTGCCAGATCTTTCTCTGATTCAATTTTGCTTAGTTGCTTTCCGCCATATAAGGTATAGTTCCGTTCAGATTGTATCGTTCTTCCCGTTAGGGTGAGTGTAGGACATTTTGTCAGATTGAACTTCATTAAACTGCTTTCAGCCCATTTGAAAATTTCATTCCGGTCAAATTGTAGTTTTTCCTTTTGAGTCTCATCAGTAATTGATCTGAATATATTGGCGTCATCTGCGTACAGAAGCATAGTAGATGTAATGCCATCCGTCATCGAGTTGATGTATAGCATAAAAAGTATTGGTCCCAGGAGAGATTCTTGTGGGACTCCGCTGACAACTGCTGCCCACTGAGAAAAATTTTCATTTACCACTACCTGTTGCCTCCTATCCTTTAAGAATGCTGTGATCCAGTTTAAAGTTTTCCCTTTGATCCCATATTTTGATATTTTGTGTTCAACTGTTTTTTTGCGAGGAACGATATCAAAAGCTTTTTGGAAGTCAATGTGCACTATGTCCACCTCAAAACCCTTGTCCGGTCGTCGAGCGCTTTTAATAACTGGAGAATTGTTGATCGACCTATGAGAAACCATACTGTTTGTCTGATGAGATGTTGTTTTTGTCTCAAGAGGTCAAACAGGTGTCTTTTTATCACTTTTTCCATTATTTCGCAACAAATTGATGTGAGGCTAACAGGTGTGTAAGTGTTTGGGTCAGTTTTTGCGTCCATTTTGTGAAACGATGTTATATTTACGCATTTCCAATCTTCGGGTACTTCTCCTTTATCCCAGGAGTTTTGCATTAAAGAACACAGTTTTTCAGCTATTTCACATCGGCATTCGCTCAAAATCTTTGGGTGAACATTGTCAGCTCCCATCGGTTTCGTGGTGTCTAACGCTGCGAATTCATTTAGTATTACCTCTTTAGAGAGATATAGATCATCTGATATTTGCTGCTCTTGGAGATCCGTTAAATTCAAGCTGCCAGGTGTTTCTATGGTAAAAACTGAATTGAAGAAATCAGACAGGGCAGTCGTTTTCTCCTTGTCGGTCTTTGCCCAATTATTATCGGTAATTTTGAGTGCAGGTATCGTATCAGTGGATTTTATTTTTTTGTTTACATAATTCCAAAATTTTTGGGTTGCTGTTTTATGCTCTTTGATATATTTTCTGCATGTATTCGAACACAGTTCATTGTCAGTTTCCTGACTTTGTTTCGAACCTTCGAGTATTTTTTATAATTTTTTTGTGTCTCATTTCTGCTGACATCTCTCCAAATTTTTTGTTTTTCAGGAACTGCAACTCTCATTTCGTGTCTCATTGGCATTTTGTTTTGCTTTATACGAATTTTAAATTTAGGGACGAACTTCTTAACAGCTCAATCAAGAGTACTTTTAAATTTTTCCCGGTTTTGCTTTAGCGTTTGCAATTCTTCATACATTATGTTGGTGTTTAACTCTGATCAGAGTTCCACGTAGCTCCCTTTGTTGTAATTCAGTCCCTCCTCTCTTTACATCATTTTGTTGTCCACAGATCAAATTTTGCTTGGATAAGTGTGTGATCACCCTTACTTAGCGGGAGATGTATTCTATGCTAGTTGGTTCCAGGGTTTTGTCGGCTAGATTGAGATTTAGTAGTGATGGTTCGTTGTTTTTGGTCACACGCGTTGGTCTATCAATGTGTTGATCAAGATAAACATCTTTTACCGCTTCAATGAATTGGTTTTCCTTGCTATTCTCGTCATGATTCGTGCTGATATATTGCCAATCTATATCTCTGTAATTCGTGTCTCCTAGTACAATGTATCTAGAACGGTTGAATCCAATGCTTCTTAAGAAGTTGTTAAGGTTGTAGTTGTTTTCGGAGGTTGATGATGGGCTCCGATAGGTTGAAGCTATCACAACTTCTCCTTTTGTTAGCAGTAGATTGTATACTTGCAGTTCCTCAAATCTAGAGTCACCTTGTAATTGATCTCCTTTCGAATATAAAACAACATGCCTCTCTTCTTCTCTTTCGCATTCATGTTTTTTGTTTCAAAAGGTAGCAGTCAAATTTGTGCCAAATTGGGTTCGACATGTTTACAGAATTTGGGTTTGGCTTCAGTTAGGGCAATGATGTGTGGTAACAAATTTGCTTTACGTAGTAGTACTTGTAGTTCAATGAATTTATCAGGAGTTATTGTTTCTACATTCCCGAACCAGAGCTCAAAATGTTCTCTGTTTCCGGCGTTGTTTTTTGAAAAACTTCTATCCCTCTTTTCTTTGCTCTGATGATTTTGTTCCCTATGACAATGTGTATGAAGTTCCCGGGTTGCTCTGCTATTAAGTTTTTTGCCCGTTGCACTAGAAAACGGACATTTTCTCTCTCTTTTATGCTCCTATCAGAAGTGACTCTTAGTTGTCTGATTTTGTCTTTGGCAAACTTCAGTTTTGTCAATTTTTTCATCATGAGTTCCGCGTCCTCCGGTGAGTCTAGTGTGATTCTCAGT